GGTCAATCATCTTTCTAGGCCTGATAGCCCTCCTTAGGAAGTAGTACAGCCAGACATTTCTACCCTCACATTGTGTATTTGCAACCAGTGTACCAGATATCTAATAGATGACTCCAGTATGCCAAAGAGAATTGTAGTATGTAATCGATTACATTTTTACACTAAGTGATTTTCAAATAGATGCTTCTGTTTCCAACTTAGGTATTGCCCGTTTGTGTCCTAATTTTACATTTTCAACTCTCTAATGCCAGTTTTGCGTCACCTTATAATGTAAGCCTTTTTATACCTTTCATGTAAACATTAGGAACATAGAGGTTTTTTCATACTTGTAATAAAGTATCTATAACCTGTTATAAAATGTTGGTTTCTTAAACATGTCACCTATTCAAGTCTCCACCCTTGGTAACTTTGTTTTGTTTTTCTTAATGTAACAATTTCAAACTTCATACAAAAGCATGAAGAATGGTCTATAATCTCATTTAACTGTAACACAACTTCAGTTGGTACCTACTTATGGGCAATCTCTATCTCTATACGCCTACTATCTCCCCATCCCTCTCCATTGTTTAGAAGCTCAATCCCAGACATTTTATCATTGTATGTGTAAATATTTCAAGATATATCTATAGGCAGGAAGGAAACTTCGTAAACACAGTTGTTTACACGTCGTGTTGTTGTTGCTATGTGCCCTCAAGTCGGACCCAACTCATAGCGACTCCTCCTTGGGTTTCCGAGGCAGTATCACTACGGAAATAGATTGCCCTATCTTCCTTCTGAGGAGTGGCTGGTGGTATATGATGAGTTCTGTTCTGACAACTCTGGCGTTAAGTCGGTTCTGACACAAGCGGAGTACCTCTTTTTTTTTTTCCCTTCAGTTTTCGTTATTATTGCCTTTCATTATCAGTATTTTTAGAAATCCTGTCTATATTTGTCTTTGGGATTAGAAACAACCGTATGACCTTACAGCTTCAATATTGGTTCTTCCAGCTTCAGTTATATGCACACTATGTAAACAAACAAAAGTACTGTCATAAGTGCAGTTTATCATAACTTGAATATGTCGTAATTTGGGCACTATCTATAGTATCACCCACCCATTGCCATCGAGTTGACTCTAGCTCATAGTGACCCTTTAGGACAGAGTAGAACTGCCTTGTAGTGTTTCCAAGGCTGTAGATCTTTGCAGAAGAAGCCTCATCTTTCTCTCATGGAGCGGCTGGTAGGTTAGAACTGCCAGCCTTTTTCGGCAGCAAGTGCTTTAACCTCTATGCCACCAGAGCTCCTGGTAGTATCACAATCTCATCAGAAATTTCTTTTTGTCATCAACTCTCACCTCAAGTTTACATTTCCCTAATTGTTCTATAATTTTTTTTTCCACCATTTGCACCATTAAAATCTCCCATTTAATTTTTCCACAGACCGATTTGGGATGTTGCCATTGGAAGAGCCTGCTCTTCTTCTTTGTGAAGTTGTAGACCGTTTTCAGAGCCTTTGTCACTTGGACCTGCAGCTTCCCTCCCTGAGGCCAGAGGACTTGAAAACTATGGTGAGTTTGTCTTGGGACCAACAGGGACCTCACGTTGGCACCAGCCTCTGTACACAAAGCATTTCTCTTAGTGGCAAGAGGGTGTAGATTGTTCTGAGGAGAGCGAGTTTTCTGTCTCTTGCTTGACCTTTTTTAATCTCACCAGGAAAGAGACTATGGAGAATTTAAATAAATAGGTTCTGTTTTAGATATGGTTCTTTAAATGGCATAAATTCAATTTTATCTTGATTTGTTAACTCAAACTATTTAAAGAAGATACTGAGGTCTAACTTCATGATATTTATTTTATAACATTTTCCAAAGAAAGTGTTAGAGGAAAAGTTATAAACTTTTTCTTTCTTGTGATAGAAATTGTGAAATCCTCTGCCCATCTGTACCTTGAAATGGGATATTTACTGCCCCATCTCATCACCGTGTGATGATAAGCTTCACTGGAGGAAATAACATCTAATTATTTGCGTCTTCAAGTTGAGAGGCTTACGGGTTTTAGCACCAAACTATGGGCCTCTGAGTTTACTACAAATGTCACCCTGCCCCTAGTCAAGGCTTTTTTTTTTCTTCACTCTGTTATCTTTCATTATTCTGAGAACAGAAATAAAGTCTGTGAAAGCCCTATTCTGCCAAAAAGTAAATTCAGTGTCAGGCTAAGACGTGAGCACTAATCTGTTTCCAGTGTTTAAGTTTGCAGTTTATAGGTCTGAGGGAGGATCTGCACTTGGTAAATGGCAGGCAGTCATTGACTGTTCTGGGAAGCCTGTTTCCTTTCTTGGTCAGCAGACCCAGACCCAGGGCTGTTGAGAACCGTCTGTGTCGTGGCTGAGCCCAGTTCTACAGCTGGGTCTTCTCCAGTGGAGTGTGTGTCATTTCTTCATTGATTTTTGCCTCGGGCCATCCAGCTTCATCATTATATATAACTTCTTTTCAGTGGTTGAAACCTTTGAGTTTGGCCCTTGACTCTTGCAGGGCTTGACGGAAGACAAGATCAGTCTTCTCCTACACCTGCTTGAAGAAGAACTTGATCACCGAACTGATGAGAGAAAAACCACAACCAAGTTGGGCTCAGACGTCCAAGTCCATGTCACTGCCTGCATTCTCTCTGTGTGTGGCTGGGCGTGTAGGTGAGTTGGCAGTTTTATCTCAGGATATGAGTGGAACAGCAGCATACACTCCCATATATTGTTACTGAAATGATTTGGACATCACATGTTGTTTCTTGTGAGAAAAACGGAGCTAGAGAGAAATGGGGAGGAGCGGTAGTAAGAATGAGTAACAAAACCAGAATTAGAAACCAAGCATTGTTAGTGTTTGCACCTAAACTTTATTTCTTGCACTTTCTCTTCCAGCTGGGAATTTGTGTTCTTATAAGCACTAAAGTTCTTGTCTCTTTTTAGAAAGGAAAAAAAAAAAAAATCAGTTTAATTGATAAAAGCTACAAAGGAAACTCCCAGCTGGAGTCTACCAGGCCCTTATGTGGGTACTCCGTTCCAGCTGCTGGATTTGCCAGAGACTCCCTCTGAGCTAGAAGACTGTCAGAACCAATCTTAGTTTATGTTACATGTGCTTTCTTTGGTATATTAGGGAGTATTTTCATTTAAAAGATAAATTTTGAGAGGGGCAGGAGGATTTTATAAAAGTTACCTTTAAAATCGCCTTGTCAAAAAGAGCACTCCACACCCCCAGATCTTCCTGTAGGAAATGTGTGAGAGATGATAAAGTCAGGTCCTGAGATCAGAGGAGGAAGGCTCAGAGAGGGTGTGGTCCCCAGTCCACTGGACTGTTCTGGAGATTTGTTTGATGAGTGTCATGGATTGAATTGTGCCCCCCAAAAATGTGTCCACTTGGTTAGGCCACAATTCCTAGTATTGTGTGATTATCCTTTATTTTGTGTTGTGTTGTAAATCCTAGTGTCTGCTTTTGGTTAATGAGGCGGGATCAGGTTATGTTAAAGAGAATTAGGTTTTGCTTGTTTCATTGATGGGCAGGTTTAGAGTAGGGTACATCACCCTTACTTAAGTTACCACCTTTACTCTGGTCACAGCCCTGATCAAATAGATATAAGGAGAGTTGCCCAGGGGTGTGGCCTCCATCACCTTTTACCTTATAAGAGGTGAAAGAAGAGAGAAGCCAAGCAGAGAAAGAGGGATCCCCAAGAAAGAAAAGCCAGGAGCCAAGTGCATGCGTTGGACCTGGAGTCCCTGTGTTGAGAACCTCCTAAACCCGGGAGAGGATTGATACTCAAACACATGGAGATCTCCAAGGGACACTGGATCCACAGGTGTTTAAAGGAGACAAGGACCTTCCCTAAGAGCTGACAGAGACAGCCTTCCCTTAGAGCTGGTTCCCTGAATTTAGACTTATTAGCCAAATAAATTTCTGTTTGGTAAAGCTATCCACTGTTACAGCAGCTGGATAAACTTAGACAGAACTTGATAGCAGGAGTGGGATGCTGCTCTAACAGAGGAGCTAGAATGTGGAAGCAGTTTTGAAATTGGGTCATGAATAAAGGCTGGAACAGTTGTAAGGTACCTAATTGTAGAAGCGTAGATTGCCTTCAAGAGATTGTCGGTGGAATTATGGACATCTCAAAGGCAGTTGTGGTGAGGGCTCAGAAAGAAACATGGAGAGCTATAGCACGAGAGATGGCACAGATGACAAGAAACGGTAGCAGGAGAACCAAGAGACTGGCTCAAGGCAGTACAATAGAGGACCTATGGAGCAGAGAACTGAGGGTCTTCATACAAGAGGCTTCCTGGTGAAGTGGAATGCCTCCATGCAATTACCGATGGAGTTAGGCTTGCTGACCTGTGTAGTGAGAGAACTGAACGCCTTTAGGCTGAGGCTTCCTGGCAGAGTGAGGTGCCTCTGGGCCCTTATCTGTGGGGCTAAAGAGCTCTGTAAGGCCTGTCTGAGCAGAGCAGATGCTGGGCCAGCCCAGGGGGCTGAGAGGCTGAGGAGCCAGGAAGCAGAAGCTCATGAGGCAGGGAGCACAAGGAGCAGAGCTGCCTCTGTCTCCAAGGGCGTGGCCACAATCTCCGGTCCCACACGGTGGAACCGCGGCCTGCTGGGTTTCAAAGAGTCAGATTTTCACCGACATGGTTCCGGAGCGTCAGGCTGCTGTTTATGAGTGCTGGGGAAATGGGGCTATATCTGCCAACCAAAGCTGGGAGGCAGAGTTATACCCAACGGCAGAAGAGTAGGGCCTGCCAAGGCCAAAGGGGTGAGGCTGCCACTCAGTTGCACTAGATGAGTAACCAGCCAACCCACTGTCAAGTTGATTGTGACTTATAGTGACCCTATAGGACAGAGTAGAACTGCCTGATAGGGTTTCCAAGGCTGTGAATCTTTATGGAAGCAGACTGTCTCATCTTTCTCCCACAAAGCAGCTGGTGGGTTCAGACAACCAGCCTTTTGGTTAGCAGCCAGATGCATTCACTGCTATGCTACCAGAGCTTCTACTAGGCAAATGGGGCCATGTAAAGCCTAGGGAGCAGAGTTGCCATCTTTGGGCCTAGAAATCAGAGCTGAAGTCCAAGGCAAAGAGGCCTCCACCCTGAATCCACAGGGCTTGGCCAACACCCAGAGAGTCTCGAGGGCAGGCCCTTGCCCAGATGGTCTCAGATAGTAGAAGAGGATTTTTAAGCCTTGAGAGCTGTGTTCTTCTAGGTGCCCGTCATCCCTTTCCCTCCCATTTCTCCCGTGTGTAATGGATATGCCTACCTGTGCCTGCTCCACCACTGTACTCTGGGAGCAGATCACTTGTGGTCTGGGTATCAGAGTTTTGCCTCATGATGCCCAGAGTCTTGCCCGTATTTGATTTAGATGATTCAGAAGATGAGATTTTGGACTTGGAGTTGATTTAAGACTTTTGGGATGAAGTGATTGGGTAAAAATGTTTTACATGTGGCAAGAACATGAATTTTGAGTGGGCCAAATGAATATGATGCATCAAATTGTGTCCCCCAATTTGAGTAGGCCCTGATTCCCAGAATTGTGTGATTATTCTCCATTTTGTGATATGTTGTAAACAGTAGCTTCTGGCAGTGGCTAATGGGGCAGGGTTAGGTTATTTTCAAGAGGATTAAGTTATATGTGTTATGTTAATGAGTTAGGATCAGGGTGGGATGCTTCAACCTCAAGTCACCACCCTTACCATATCTCAGCCCTGATCTGATGTAGGAGTTTTCCTGGGTGTAGCCTGCATCACCTTTTATTTCACAAGAGAGAAAAAGAGAGAAGCCAACAGGTAAGGTGAGACTTCAGTATTTCCATTATAACAGCACTGGATAACTAAGAGAGGAGCCCTGGTGGCATAGTGGTCAAAGCATTCAGCGGCTAACCAAAAGGTCAGTGGTTCAAACCCACCAGCTACTCTGCAAGAGAAAGATGAGGCACTCTGCAGCTTTGGAAACCCTATGGGACAGTTCACTTTGTCCTCTAGGGTTGCTGTGAGTCAGAATTGACTCGATGGCAGTGGGTAAGACAATGAGATAAGTAATAGTCACAGTCACAATTTTGTCACTTGGAAATGTTACTCTGCAAAAATGTCCTTTGTTCTCTGTTCATTCCTAGTTCCTCCTTGGAACCCATGCAGCTCTCCTTGTTGACGTGCTCACAGTGTGTGCGGAAGGTGGGGCTCTGGAGCTTCCAGCAGATTGAGGCGTCCGTGACAGATATGGAGGCAGCCTTTGGCCAGAGCAGCTCCCCCATCCCAGGCTCCGAGGGGCGCCCGGAGCGCTTCCCCCTCGTGCCTGAGTCTCCTCGGAGGATGATGACCCGCAGCCAGGATGTCACGTTTTCCCCCAGTTCAGAGCAGGTATGGACATGGCTTGCGTGGGGTGGATTTTTTTTTTTTAATTGTAGTAAAATACATTTAGAAACTTCCTTGCCATTCAAACCATTTTCACATGTGTAGCTCAGTGACATTAATTACTGTTACCATGTTGTGCAACTGTCACATCACCAGATCCATTTCCAAGTATTTTTCGCCCCCTTAACAGAAGCTCAGCACCCCTTCAGCATTAATTCCCTCCGCCCACCCTCTGATACCACTAATCAGCTTTTGTCTCTACATTTCTTTTTTGTTCGTATTTCATACATGTGGGGGTCATACAGTATTGGCCCTCTTGTGTCTAGCTTATTTCATTCAGCATGTTTTTGAGGGTCATGCATGTTGTAGCACGTGTCAGAACTTAATTTCTCTTGGTGGCTGAAGAATCCTCTGTCATATAGTCATACCAAGGTTTGTCCGTTCATGTGTCAGTGGACGTTGGTCGTTTCTACCTTTTGGCCATCGCATAGTGCCACATTGAACATTTGTGGACAGCTGTCTGTTTGGGTCCCTGCTTTCAAGTCTGGGTAGTATCTAGGGGTGGAGTTGCTGGTAATTCTGTGTTTAACTTTTTGAGGAACTGGCAAACTTTTCCACAGTGGATATAGCATTTTGCAATCTCCCGGGCTGAGGATGAGGCTTCCAGTTTCTCCACATCCTGGCTAACACTTGGTGCTTTCCATTTCTCTGATAGTAGCCATTCTAGTAGGAGTGATATGGTAGCTCATTCATTGTAGGTTTGATTTCCATCTCCCTCATGGCTAATGCAGAGGAGCTCTTGTGGTGTAGTGGCTAAGACATTTGTTTGCTAACCAGAAGGTCTGTGGTTCAAACCCACCAGCTGCTTTGTGGGAAGAAGATGTGTGAGAGATGATAAAGTCAGGTCCTGAGATCAGAGGAGAAAAAGGCTCTACTTCCGTAAAGATTTACAGCGTTGGAAGCACAGTGGGGTTTGCTGTGAGTTGAAATTGACTTGATGGCAGGGAGCTTGTTTTGGTTTTGAATGGGCTAATGATGGTGAGCATCTTTTCATGTGCTTGTTGGCTATTTATCTTCTCACCTGTCTGGTTAAATTATTTCCTGGGTATTTCATTTGTTTAGATGCTATGGAAAACAGAATTATTTTCTTAATTTCCTTTTCTGGTTGTTCATTGCTGGTGTGTAGGAATGAATGTTACTCACATACCCTACAATTTTGGTGAATTCGTTTATTAGCTTTCATAATTTTCTTGTGGAGTACTTGGGATTTTCTATTTATAGGATCATTTATCTGCAAACAGAGATAGTTTAACTTCTTCCTTTCTGATTCGGATGCCTTTTTTTCTTTATCCTCCTACCTAATTGCTCTGGCTAGAACTTCAAGACAGTATTGCACAGCAGTGGTGAAAGCTAGCATTCTTATCTTGTTCCTGATCTTAGGGAGAAAGCTTTCAGCTTTTCACCCTTAAGTGTGGTGTCAGCCATACTTAAACATCATTCTTGCCAAAAATGTTGGTGGAAAACGTGGAAACGAACTTAGGTGGGTAGCTTCCCTTCTGACTGCACTGATCCTAACACCATGTAGTGTTATTCTTCACCAGCTGCGATGGAGAAGCTAAAATCTTTAAAATACTCATTTTCACATGCTTCTGGAAATAGTCTTTATCATAATCATTGTCACTTATGTACTTCTGTTATCTCCTCTTTCCTTCAGGCTGAAAAGAGCCCAGGTCCCATTGTCTCCCGGACTCGGAGCTGGGACTCTTCCAGTCCTATTGACCGTCCTGAGCCAGAGGCAGCTAGCCCTACCACCAGAAGCCGTCCAGTGACCCGAAGCATGGGGACGGGAGATACCCCTGGCCTGGAGGTGCCATCTAGCCCTCTGCGGAGAGCCAAACGAGCTCGCCTCTGCTCTTCAAGCAGCTCGGTGGGTGCCCAAGTACACACTCCATGTCCAGCCCTCACTAAGAGCCCTTCCCAGGCCTATAGCTTAAAGGTCTACCATATGCATAAAATGGGACAGTCGTGTGACCAGGTGGAGGTGATTGAAGAGTTCTGTCATTTGTTCCTTTTGGGGTAAATTCTGGAGTGATAATAAATATTTTAAGCCGATGGGACAGCAACAAGATGGGGGACAAAACCTGGTAAGTTCATCTAATACAAAAGGAATGAAAGTACAAAGAACATGAGAGGAAAAAACAGAGAGTTGAGAACCAGACCAAACTCACTGCCGTTGGGTCAATTCTGACTCAGCAACCCCCATTGGGTTTCTGAGGCTGTAAATCTTCGTGGAAGTACATTGTCCCATATTCCTTCTGCGGAGCAGCTGGTGGATTTGAACCACTGACCTTCTGGTTAGCAGCCAAATGCCTTACCCACCGTACCAGTAGAGCTCCTTAGAGTTGAGATGAGAAGGTAAAAACTAGAAATGTGGGCAGTTGTGAAATTCTGGACTTGACAACTAATAGCAGTGCCTCCCTGAAATTGTGTAACATTTCCCCTTCGTTAAGCTTGTTCATTTTCCTCTTTCCCAGGACACATCTTCCCGAAGCTTCTTTGATCCCACCTCTCAGCATAGAGACTGGTGCCCTTGGGTGAATATCACTCTCAGCAAGGAAACTCAGGAGAATGGTGGAACTGGTGGTAGCTCCTCAGGCGAGCCAGGCTGGAAGGCTGTGTTGAGCACCCTCCTGGCCCACACCCAGGCCAGCCAGCCAGCTGAAACTGACTCCATGGTGAGAGGACCATGCCCGGCGTGGGTACAGCACTTGCTGTGGGTAGGGAGGGGAGTAGCACCCTGCCTGCCCTCTGCTTTCAGAGTCAGGTTGGATCATTCTGGTTGATCCTAGAAAACAGGCTTGGAACTGAGTCAGTCTTTCGGCAGTTTAGCATATGGCTCTTTACCACACTGTGGTAAGTTTATTGTCTTCCCAGCTAAAGTGATTCCGAGTAGAAGAGGCTCACAGACCCAGGAATAGACAACGAAGCAGCTGCTCTGGCCTCATGTTGCATGCAGGCCAGCTGCATTTTCCATCAGTTGCTGTCACTTGGCCTTGGACCCAGGCCAGCAGCTGAGCTGTGTGGAGCCTGTGCTCTGACATTGAAGTTATGGTTGCACCCCTCACGTTGGGCACATAACTCTAGTCCCCACTACCTGAGCACAACTGCTGCTGGGTCCACGTGTGGGTAGTAGAGTCGAGTCAGTCATGGCAGCTGGAAAACAAGCCAGTATGTGCTCTGCGTGAAGGATGAAAGTCATGGAGGGTGTTAAGGACATGTGCAAGCTGGATTCCCTCTGTGCTGGCTCTGTCCCACACTTGCCTTGTGGCCTGGTGTAAACATCATTTCTAACCTCTGTTTCTTCCAAGTACAAAGTAAACTAATACTTGCCAGCAGATCATCATAGTTTCATGGTTTTATAGGGTCGCAGGACTTTACTTGAGAGAACTGTAGTCAGACTAAGAGCCCAGGAGTATACATTGGTGCCCTTGATAAATACACAGATGAAGCTTTTCCAGGTTTCAGCAGGAAAAAAAAAAAATCGACTTTTTTCCCAATTTGAAAACCTGTAAAGCTATTTGACGACAGATGTTTCACCCACCTCTCAAACTGGAGAGATTATTAAGCCTACCTTTGCACATAAAAGTTCTCTCTGCCTAGATCTTCAACAAATAGTGTATGGGCAGCTTTTATTAAGATTCCCTTTGTCACTGTTATACTAAAAAGAATCCCCACAGGATTTCTCGTAAGAGAAGCAGTTGGCCTTCTGATGGGCCCGGGCTCAGCACTCTGAAGATCCTTCCGGTAGCTTTTCTTTTAACCTTCTCACCACTGCTCTGGCAAAGCTTCGTGAGGCCATGGTAAAGGCTCTTGATGTTAGGAAAACGTTTGTACAATTTTTCAAACTTACGTTTCTCCCCACTCTGTTTTCTGATGCTGAATTAACTGCATTTCCCTCAGTCTTAGTAAGAGACAGTCATCCTCTAAGAGAAAAAGAGAATGTTGAAAATGCGATCTTGTGTCAGAAAATGTGGGTGGCCATGCTGGACACCGTTTGTGCCTCTCTGAGCCCCTTCTTGTGCTCTTCGTCATGACTCTCTGGGGCACAGAACCCAGGGTCTGATTAACCAAGCTCTTTCTCTTTCTGTGAATGGCTTTGTCTCCCTGTCACACCATTGCTCAGAGCTGCAGGTCCCTTCCCAGGCATGATCACATGGGAGCAAGATTCTTCCCAATGTTAGCTCTGCTGGCTGAAACACTGTGAAGGCCAAGGTCTTAGTTTAAACTCCTAAGGTCATTTAACTTTGCCTTATTCCTTGGCCTTGGATCATATTGTTAACCTCAGTTGGGGATCATAGAGATGTGGGTCCTTGTTCCCAAGAAATAATGAATTAGAAAGGAGACAGTGCAGAACAGAATTTCAAATTCTCATGGACTCCAGATTTTCTGGAGCCATGGAAGTTGGATGAACCCCCAAAACTGTTGCCCTTAGATAACCTTAAACCAAAAATATCCCCTGAAGTGTTCTTCAAACCAGACAAGAGCTTAGTTTCACTAGTGGAGAATGCCTGCTTTGGGCGTTACATTCTTTGAAGAGCTGTCTGTATGGGGTCAGATTGACGATACCAACTGGACGGATTAGACGGGAGCCTTAGGGGTGTGTGGGTTCATGTCCATGTGGGTAACAACTCAGGAGGCAGTGACTGTATGGGGTCAGATGGACGATACCAGCTGGACGGATTAGACGGGAGTCTTAGGGGTGTGTGGGTGTATGTTCATGGGGGGTAACAGCTCAGGAGGCAGTGGGCAGCTGCCCCGATCAGAACGGTGTCACTGTCGCTGAATTGTCCGCAGAGAAACTGGAATTAGTGTCTCTTCAGCTGTGTGTGTTCTCAGCAAGTGAACTGGGGCAGCTCAGCATCACAAGTGGGGAACCCCTGCCAGTGGGGTGCTGCACAAATGGTGGGTCAGAAGTGACACCCTTACGTACAAGGATTGGGACAGATGCAGCTACTTGGAGGAGGCTGTCAGTAGTAGGGATTACAGTAGAATACAGGCTTGGTATTCGCTCTAGTTGTAGGTAGGCGTCACAGCGCAACAGAAGAAGTAATTTGTTCTGTTCACACCTAGTGTGGTGACATCGTTGTGGAAGGAAATGACAAACCAGGCCTTGAAGCTGTTCTCCACCCTTTGTCTCTCTGTAAAAGACCTTCATCTCTAATGAGGAGCTTTTCTCCCTGCAGAGTCTCTCTGAGAAGTCGAGGAAGGTATTCCGAATATTCCGGCAGTGGGAATCATTGTGCTCATCCTGAAGACTTGCTGACCCCTTCCTGGAGAGGACTGGCCTGAGAACAGCTTTGGGAAGGATAAAACAGACTTCCCTTTTGGTCACAGCTGATGTTAAGTTTTCTCCATTCTGGTTTATTACAAGGACCCCATGCTGTTGCAGAGGCAGTAAATGCCAGCCACTCCTGCATCTGCCTTGGGGGACGCTTTCATACAGGCGGGGAAAGGTAGGACACAGCATGCCTGGCTCTGTGGAAGAAGCGGGCGGCTGTGAAGCCAGGTGGAGGAGCGAGGATGTGACACTCATTGAGCATCTCGAACATAGCACGGTGTGTGGAGCACTGTCCGAGCCCAGAACTATGACGGTGCATGTTAATAAAACATTTCCTGAGTTTCTTTCTACTGGAGAGCTACTTGCCACCTGCCTTGCAGGCTGGTTAAAAGGAAGCAGAGACCAAGAAAATTTTAGTGGACCATTTAGCATCATCAAGATTGTGGTTTTCAGATTGGCTGCCAAGCCCAAAATTCATTTGAGATTCCAGTCAAACAGCTATAATTTTTCTTGAACCAGAGGCAGGCCAGTTCAGTTGTCAGTGTCACCAGGTAACTGCCTGGTGTGATGGTGATTGGTACAGCCGTTTTCTCTCATCACCTTGGTGATAATAGCAGAAGAGAGTATTACAATGGGAGGAAAGCACATCAGAGGAGGCCCCACTCCCGGATCCCCACAGGCGGCTACCCTGATAAGGGTCCCCCAGGCTCACCCCGTGGTTCTGAAGACTGACCCTTAAGTCGGCCCATCCTGAGGAAGGCACTTCACTGATGGAGTGGCCATGACTAACTGGAGGCTGGACAGTCACTCTGACAAGTCTGTCTCTTGTTAACCGGTTGATTTGTTTTATACCTCACTTCTTTTATATTGAAGTGTGTTAAAGAAATTAACAGATACCTTGAAATTCTACCCATTGGTACTGTAGTTTACAGCTCTAAAAAATCAAATACCTTCTGATCTACATAGTACATCTAACAAAAGTTAATGACCCCTTAGCAGTGTCTAGTACTCAGTCCATGTTCAGAATTCCCAATTGTTCCCAAAAATATTCTTTCCATCTGCTTTGTCCAAACTGGGATCCAACTCAGGATCATAGAGTATGTAAAGTTCTTTAAAGGAAAGTCTCTTTTCTTGCATATCACAGCTTAAATATGTCGATTTTCAATCCTGATTGTTAAAGGGTTGAACGGCGCTGACATGTCTGTCAGTGGACCAGGCCCGGTAATGGCTGGTTTTCCTAGGTGTGCCCTTGCCTGTGGCTGTGCTCGATGGTTCGGCTGTTCCTGGGCTCGTGGGCAGCTTGCCACCATGGACGGAAAGGAGACCTCTGGCCCAGGGTGAGAGCCTTTTGCTGACTGGTGACTCAATCAGTTAGAAGTCTGCTCACTACAAGCTCATAGCCCCTGGGCCAGTTTCTGAGAGATGTAGGGTTGTGACAGTGTCCATGTAGACTGCACACCCATCAAAGAGTCGGATTATTATAATATAGGGATTTTGGTTTGCTTTTGTTTTAAGTCTTTCCACTGTAGTTTTCAGTGTACACACCCCCCTCAAAAGAGTATTTGTATTTCTTAAAATAGGCAGAACTCCATACATTTTGTTTGTCTCACTGGACAGACTTAGTGTGATTTAAGAAATATCAGGTCTCTTCCAGGTATAAGGCACTGTCAAGCTGTATTGTAATGCAGAGATGGCTGGCTACCTGGTACCTACCCTCAAGAACTTTATAGTCCAAACTGGAACATGTATTTATACCAAGTGTCACACAAGAAGGTGTGAGATACTCTGGGAGAAGGACAAGAGAGGGAAATTAGAGTGACTTTCAAGGGAAGTATAGCTTTGGGCTGGACTTAGAGATGAGTGGGAGATCCAGGCTCCATGAGAACAGAGCTCTTGTCTGTCTTGCTCATATCCCACCACTTAAAACACTACCTGCACATGGTAGACTCTTGATAAAAAGACATTTGAGGCTGGAGGAACATTGTGAATAAACGAGCAGAGTGTAGGATCAGTTCTTAAAAGAGCAGGTGTTCTGCTCTGGCTTGAGCTTTTTCAGCATGGTGGGTTCAGTCGCATGGGAAGGTACCTGTCTACAGGTGTGTCCTGGAGTTTGGGAGAGGAGGAGTCAGTGCATGGAAGAAGCCAAGGATCATTCCTTCAGAGGCTCAGAGTGTGTGGAGCCATGCTGAGGGAAGCCCTGAGCCTGGCGTACTTCCCACGGGAAACCTGAATGCTTGCCTGTTGAACAGCGCTCTGTAAGGTTCCAGTCAGATGAGGACTGCACTGCTGGACAGGGGTGGGTGTGCTTTCAGACGGGGAGGGTGTTCCCAGGCGAGATGATGCCCTTGCGCTCCCTTTCCTGAAGCAGCTGTTCTCTTCCCCACTCTAGGATGTCACCTCAACCCTAAGCTGTCCCTTATCTCTCCTTCCTGTGGTTCTGTTGCTGTCAGGGGGCTTGCTTTGGCCTGGCTAGCAACCCATTCTTCCTGATGTGACCCTTTATTTCCATGTCTTTTGACAGATCCCTGTAAAAGAGGGTAGCTGCCTAAAATTTCATTTTTGCTGCTTGATTCATAAAGGTGGCATCAGTCACAATTCCAGGGAGTCTGCCCACGTGGCTATACCAAGTGGCTTGCAGGGGTGCTGTGTAACCTGCGTGATTGTTCCTGATGGCTCTCAGCAAGTGGAACAGCTCCTTCCTCTCTCCCTCCCCGGGCACAACACTCCTCTACGGGCCAGGGCAGGTGGTGGGGTCTTCAAGACGCCTGCGACTCCTTGCTTGGCTAATGCTCCCAGCCTTCAGGTTCTTTTTCATTCTTTCTCACCACTTACGGCCTCTAAGATTTTGTGTTTTGCTTTAACAAAGCTTGTATTTCTCTTACAAGTAAGTTTGGATTTTACCTAGAAGACGACAGAAACTCAAAGGTTTTTTTTTTTTTTTTAATAATCAGCTGTCAGTCAAGAGCTAGGTTGTGGCAGAGCTGTATTTAAATTGATGCTTCCCAGCCACCTGCTCTTTCCATTATCACCTGACTGGGAACACCTTCCAGCACTGTGGTGCCCTGGTTCCCTTCCTAAGGAGACATTTGTTGACTGCCTCTCAAGCAGAAAGGAATTTTTTTTTTTTTTTTTTAATTTTATTGTGATTTGGGTGAAAGCTTACAGAGCAAATTCATCTTCTGTACAGCAGTTCACATACACTTTCTCGTGACGTTGACTGCCATCTCCCACAATGCAACAGCTGCCCTCCCACTTCCTCCCCATAGCCACCTCTTCCCTCTGTCCTTTCCTCCCATGCACTCCTGCCGCCCTGAGCTGTCTCCCTGTGAACACACAGCCCTTCTACTCTCCCAGGATGGGTCTCTCTAAGGAGTGTATCTACCTAATGTTCTGCTCATACATCTGTCTTTTCTTTGGCTGGAAGCCACAGGAGTGGGTTCAATTCCAGACCTGAAGGGCAGCTAGGGGCCATAGTCTCAGGGGTTCCACCAGGCTCTATCAGACCAGCAAACCTGGTCCAGAAAGGAATATTTTGTAACCACTCACAGGGTACTAGTTTCCAGAATAAGTCTTTCCCTGCTTTATTTTCCATTTTAGTAACTTCACTAGACTAGCAGGTAGAGAACTCTGGGGGCTTTTCTCTTTGCTCATCAGACTGTTAGGCCAGAGCCAGCTTTGAAATCCCTTCCACCCTGGTCAATCTTAGCAGCAAAACAGCTGCATGTTCAGCTCAAGCAACAGCAGAAGTACACACACTTCCTCCTCCTTGGTTTCCTTTCTATTTTTAGGTTTATTCCTATTCTGGGTTTTCTTTGGGTTTATGTAGCTGTTATCTGGGTCATTTGACCCATCTTCTCCGAAGCGCATGCTGCATTGGAGCCTTTCATTATGGCTTGTTCCTTCCATCTTTTCCCCACATTCTCTCCCCTCGGTGCTCCTGGCTGACGCTGGGGTGGCGGCTGTCGTTTTCCTTCCCGCTGCGTAGCTCGGGTTCGGGCCGTGCTGCTTGATGGCTGAAGCCATTTAGGGAGGGGGGGGGCGAACGCTGGCAGGTCGTGGACACTCAGTGGCGTGGCCAGAGGACCGGTTTCTGCACTCATGCCTCCCATCAGCACCCCAGAAAGAAGACAGGAACGTTGGTTGGCTTTTCCCACAGTAGGTTGATAACAGACCTCAAGGGAGAAGGAAGGCAGAGAGTGAGGCCCAGAAGGGGCTCGCACATCACCTCCAGGGCTGTTGCTGTTCTCTTGAGGGAACCAAGGTCACAGAGACATAGAAATGCCACGTAAAGTTCCTTGTCCATTTCCTAGCCAGACCTGTGGGGAAAGCTTTCACAGTACCGTGGGGGAACGGGAGGTATACGGAGCCATTCCGAAGTGATGGTGAAGCAGTGCCTACAGCTGGAGTCTGGTGTTTGGTGAGATGGGGGAGGGGGAAACCGGTGGTCTTCCCCAGGACCCCTGACAGTCGGGTTTCCTCCCACAGGTCGCCGTCAACTGGGAGTGTGTACTGCTTGCCAGGCACTGCTCGGAGCACTTTACATATGTTAGCTCGTTGAAGCCCCGTCAACCATGGGGGGTAGATACTGTCACTCCTTATTTTAGAAATGAGGATACCCAAGCACAACTTCATTCCCTTGCTCAGCGTCACACGGCCAGTCAGTGAAGGAGCCTGCACTCAGGCCGTCTGCCTCCCAGCTCTGCTGCTGGCATGCTCTGCCTTGTGTGCAGGGACGTGGGTCAAAAGATGGAGGCCGTTGGTACAGTGGTCCTTGTAGTAAGAAACTGAAAACAGCTCAGCCACCTAACAGTTGGCAAATTGTTGAAAATACATAGTGTAAGTGGAGTGTAATGCAAATAACATGGTAGTCGCAGTGATTCTGTAACTGGAAAGGTGTTTTGTGATCCATGTGAAAAACAATGTCAAGGCATATCTCTACTCTGGTTGGTTTATTTAACAGACTCAAGAAAATGA